GATGCTGATATTTTCTGCAAACAGACGGGGATCGAACCCCAACTGAGCGCTAACCAGATAGGGCCAGAAGTAAAATTTTTAAAAAGCTAGCTCTAAAGAATAAAAGTTTAACTCTCCTACATTAAAAAACTGATTAATATCGAGTCATGGAAATAAACAGCAAAATGTTGCAACAATCTGATACGCACATAAAATGGCCTGCATATATCAAACATAGCTTTGGATTTAGGGATCTCTTTTGATAAAAAAAATTAAAAAGTACAACTTGAATATTAAAAATAACTTTTAACAGGTATTTGTGCCATATAACTATTTCTATCATCACAGAATAAGTAACCATTTTTCCTTGTTAACTGTATCACTACTATTTGTGTGATCTGTGGCTGGAGTTTTCAAAGCTGCTGTCCAATGGCATTCCAGATGTTGGGATGCTAACACCTCCACCCTCAGCCTCCAGTTAAGGTCTGTGGCTGTTTCCAGGGCAGAAAAATATACAATTTTTTTTGGCCAAGAGACACTGAAATGTGTTTTTAAAAAAATATATTTTATTGATTTTTTACAGAGAGGAAGGGAGAGGGATAGAGAGTTAGAAACATCGATGAGAAACATTGATCAGCTGCCTCCTGCACACCTCCTACTGGGGATGTGCCTGCAACCAAGGTACATGCCCTTGACCGGAATTGAACCTGGGACCTTTCAGTCTGCAGGCCGACGCTCTATCCACTGAGCCAAACTGGTTAGGGCTGAAATGTGTTTTGAAGGATAAAAGAAATAAACAATAGATTAAGTATGTCCTGAATTTCTTTTGTTTATTTACAGGAGGCAAAAGATAAAACTGAAATTTAATATTAAAACAAATATTTTCTAGTTAGGATCCCTATGTGGTTTGTTTTAATTTACTATATTTATAAATGAAGAAATCTAGAATTCCTAGATTGAGTAAAGTGAAAGAAACAATTATTGTGAAGATTTGACAAAACAAAGGGTTTTTGCTTAAGGTAGCAAATTGATGGAGAAGTAACTTTCTCGGCCATGAACGCTTATCTCTGGGGATAAGGATGCCTTCTATCCTCTTGGGATAGGGAGGATACATTCACATGGGAGATGTACTTCCTGCTTTTGGGAGACAAAGGACAGTCACAGTGTTCTTGCACTGGCTGCTTTTCAAGTAACTTTAATTCAAGATAATAAATATGTCAAAATGACATGTTTGGGTCTGCCTGCCCTAAACCCCATCACCTCCAAAGAATAACTCAAAGGTTTCTATATTGTATACATTGACAGAATGCAAATATATATATAGCTTATGTTCAGCATCATAGCTGAACAATTCCAAACATTTTAATGGTTTTAATTTAATATTGAATTTTATATATGGACTATTTACAACTAGAGGCCCGGTGCACGAAATTTCAGCCCGGCCTGTTCCCTCTCGCAGTCTGGGACCCCTCGGGGGATGTCCGACTGATGGCAATCAGACATCCTTAGCGCTGCCATGGAGGCAGGAGAGGCTCCCGCCATTGCCGCTGCACTTGCCAGCCGTGAGCCTGGCTTCTGGCTGAGCAGCGCTCCCCCTGTGGGAGCGCACTGACCACCAGGGGGCAGCTCCTGCATTGAGTGACTGCCCCCTGCTGGTCAGTGCACATCATAGTGAGCGGTTGAGCGGCCTTAGCATATCATTAGCATATTACGCTTTGATTGGTTGAACAGCTGGCCAGACTGGACACTTAGCATATTAGGCTTTTATTACATAGGATTATCTTTACTTGTAATAATAACTGACATACTTTAAGTGATTATTTTTGCCAAACAGAATTCTAAGATTAATGTATTTACTTATTATAACAACCACGCGAAACAGGTCCTATAGCATTTTCATTCTGCAGATAAGGAAACTGAGTTATAGAGAGGCTAAGGAACTTGCCCAAGTCATAGAGCTAGAATGTAGCCAGTCTGCCTCTCTGGTGATATGGCATTTGAGTACTCTGTAACTCCAAGAATTCCATAAATTCTTACTTTTTTTTTTCTTGGATAGTATCATAGTTCAGAGGCTATGGGGTTGATTGGAATTTGAGTAAGTGGAATTTGGCAATTTGAACAAATCAAATTAGATTTCTGCAAAGGAAAAAAGTAGCTATTAATATGCAATCTGCCTAATTATAGTCACAGCACCCAGAACTGGAAGGGGCCTTAGAAATCATCTACTACAAACCTGTCCTGTTAAGCATAAATTAATAGAGACCACAAATCTTACTTAAAACGACAGTTGGTAACAAGCTTCGGAAAGGAATAGTGTGCTCAGGAATCCTAGTCCACTAAGCCTTATGTAACATATCACTTACGTGTCCAAATCTATGTGTTTTAGGTTTAAGTTACCTGGTGATACAGTATCTATTAAAGAAAAATAAAGTTTTCATAAGTCAAATGCTTTAAATGGTATGAGTGCTTTGCTCTGTAATTACTGAATTATGTGCTTTTCCTCACAATTCCTAGACATTCTTAGTAGTCAATGAGCTGATGCTATCTATACTGTTATCTGGGAACTGAG